CACTCAGTCCCGATGGGCCGCAAGGAGGTGGTGAAGAGATTTTCTTGTGTGGCAAACAGGGGCATCACCCCCACCGCCTCCCCACCTCAGCTTGGTGCAGCCACTTCACCCCTAGAAGGAGGGGTGTTGACAGCTCCTTCATGATTTTCCTTGTGTGGGGAGGAAATCATTTTCCTCCTCCGTGCCTGCTGGATCCTAGGCTCCGGGCACTCCCACAGAGCCCAAATTCCGGATGAGGATCCCGGTGAATTAGCTAATAAATGAGAAAATACAGGTGGACTGGATGGATGTCAGGAGACAGTGGGAGATACCATGCTGTGTTCCGGGAGAGCCCCCGGCCGACTTCTCTGGGACTTGCCACACCCCTGGCCCCTCTTCTGTCTCCAGGCCAGGTCTCCTGCCTGTCAACCCCTTGTCCCCCCTGCTTCAGGAAGCCAGCTCTCCTCCGGTCTTGCTCTTGTCACCTGGGTCACTTGGTGGCCCGACGCCCATGGGATGCTCAGGGCTGTTCTGGACCCTCCACAGGTGCTTCCTCAGGCTGCCCTGGGGCAAAGGGCTCCCCATCCCTCGCTCAGCTGTCCCGGGGGTGGTGGGGGGCGGTGGGGAAGTCAGGGTGTCTGCAGTCATGGATTTTCCTGAGAAACCACTCTGGCCTGCATACACCCAAGTCCTGAGGGACCTCTGTCGGCTGACTCAGCATGGAAACTCCCCATGGGGGGCCCCATGTGGGGTGACAGCGCCCCGACGTCAGCACGAGGGCGGCACAGAGCAGGGTGGGAGATTCCAAGGCCCAGGTGGAGGATGGGGTGGAGGCTGGATTCAGGCAGCAGCAAAAGAGGCTGGAGAGTGAGGCCTCGCTTGGTGGGCGGGGCAGGAGGGGTCTGGCCCTGAAGATCTCAGGGTTTGGGGAGGGCTCAGGGGAACCCTTGTTGATGCTGGATCGGCCCCCTTCTGTCTACCCCTCCCCCACTGCCCCTCGCAGAGATGCCCCCTGTCCTTCAGCCCAGCTCCCTGCTCCCCTCCCGCCTTGGAGCCCCCAGAACCCCATGGTTTGCAAGCTTGGCCTGGCCCTGAGGCACCCCAGCTCCCAAGACATAGAACAGGGAGGGAGCATGTGGAGGGCCTGGGCCTCTGTGATTTATAGGACAACTCTTTTCGGTGAAAAGAGTCTGTGCAGGGCCCTGGGGGCACAGGGGCTGGAGAGTCGGGTGGAGACCCCAGGGCATGGGCAGGCAGCGGCTACCACCAGGGGTTTTAGGGAGGTGAGGCCTGAGCAAATCCAAGTTCTGGGGGACAGAACTGTGGATGGGGAATGGAGGGGGGCAGTGTGGGGAAAGGTTAGGGGGCCAGTGCTGAGGTAAGGGGCTGTTGAGAGGCTCCTGTCCCCCTCCTACTCAGCCCAGCTTCCTGGGGTGGGGGCAGGTATGTGCCCACCAGCAGAGCCTGGCACACCACCTGTCCTCCTGGGGCACTGAGCCCTGAGAGAGACCCCATCGTGGGACTCTGCCCAGGCCAGCTCCAGACCCTGCACGGCTTCCCCTGAAAACCCCACCCCATAGGACTGGCTCGTCAGCTGTTCCGGAAAACCACAGCTTCTCCCGCTGAGGTACGAGTCCGTGGTGTCTGTTCAACCTCAGATAAGGGCCTGAAGGCCGCCCTTGGTTCCCAGAAGAGCTTCCGGCCACAGCAGCTCACCACCCAGGCCCCTCCCTTCCCCTTGCTGGAAAAGGTCCCTTTTACTGAGATCTGGACTCAGCCGGTGTGGGACTCCCTCGGGAGGGCAGAGGTGGGGACCCACCGGAGCTAGAACTGGACACTGGCCCCTCTCAGCCCCAGGCCTGGGGCACTGCAGGGAGCTGTCCTGAGGCAGGGGGTCTCCCCCTACCCCCAGGTGCTGGGATGTGCACCATGGATAAAACAGGTCCATGATGCCAGGCCCGGCCACGCAGGGGCTTTGACCAGGACGTGGGGCCATCACTCTCGGCCACCCTGCCCCCCACCTCGTGGTTTCCTGAGCATTCAGGAGCAAACCACTCTTCCTGCAGTGGGGCTCGACTCTGAGGTCAGAAAAGGACTGGCTCCTAGGGGCGCTACCCTGTGTTTCAGTAAGAGGCTGTGCTGGGGTGGAGAGACAGCTGCCTCCGCCCCAACCTGGCTCATGTTTCCAGTAAGCTTTGGGAGCTGAGGTGCTTTCCAGAGATGTTGATTCTGGCCAGGGCTACTCCAGACCCCTTTCTCAGACTCTCCACAGGAGACAGGCTGCAGGATGTATTGGGGGGGGGGCATGTCCTTGGAGTCCTTAGGGCTCCGTGGGATCTTTGGCTGAAACAGACCCATGGCTGCTGGGAGGTGGTCAGCAGACCCTGCACTGTGTCTGCCAGGGGCGGAAGGAAGTCCCAGTGGGTGCCAGGGGGGGGGCCTGTGCTGGGCGGTCCTCTAGGTGGAGGCTACAGGGATGGTGGGGGTCCCTGGGTGAGAGCAGAAGGCACTGCTTGAGTTCCCCACCCACCAGCAGGACCCCAGGACTCACCCCTGGAGGGGAGTGAGGGAGAGGGAGGGAGGGAGGGTGTGGGGGGGAGAGAGAGACACCCAGCTTTCAGGAGCCCACATTCCCGTCCAATTACAAACTCTAGCCATAGTGCCGCCAGGCCGGTCCCAGGCACTCGGGAAGCCGTCCCTCCCCTGCTGCTGAGGCAGGCTCCTCGGGCCCCTGCAGGATCCCCGACCCCCTCTTCGGTGCCTGCTGCCCATCATGCCATCTGAATACTGGGATCCACCTCGTACCTCCAGATGCTCAGGTGCCCCAGAGCACCCCAAACTCCACCTCTGGCCTTCCTTTCCCTGGGGGTCCTTACAGTTCTGGCTGGCAAGGGCAGTGCAGGGCCAAATGCGAGGTGGGTGGGGCCGGGGGAGGTTCCAGATGGGGGGCAGGGGTGTGGCCATCACCTCTGGGGGTTTGGACGAACAGCAGTGGTTCTTGGGAAACTTCATTTGTTGACATATGGGCTCTCAAGGGAGTGCCAGGGACCCAAGAGCAGCAGACAGGCTTTGGGGGAGCCCCAGGAGGGCAGGGCAGCCCGTTCCACCAATGTACACTCCTCTTTACATTTTGCACTCACTCAGCAGGGAAAGCAAGCCTGTCACTGAGGCCTCAGGTCACTCTGTGAGCGCCATGCTGACACTGGCAGGGAAGGAGAGCTGGAATGCACCATCTGGGCCAGCACCATCGGGTCACAAGAACCCCGACACTGTGTAGGGCAGTGGCCCAGTGGCCAGGGCTTGCAGGACAGATGGGATATCAGGAAGGGCGTGGGAGAAGCCTGTGAGCTGGGATGTGGGGTACAGACGCCCCAGGGGGGTATCAGGAAATGTGGAGTGGCCTGGATGCTTGCAGGAAACATAGCGCTGACCCCAAAGATGCAGTGTATTTTACAAAGACCTGGGGGCACTCAGCTTGCCCAGGAGGCCACTGCACTCCACCCCCATGGAGGCTGGTCTTTTCCCCTCCCTGGCCTTTTGAGCACAGAGCCAACAGACCCAGCTGCACAGCAGGCAATGGCTGAGCTTGGCCAGTCTCAAGGGTTGACCACCAGACATGCCGGGGAGGGGACTGAGGGTTCCTGGACCCCAGGCCTATGGTGATAAGCGTGTGCTTCTTGACTTTGGTCTAAGGACCCCATATCCTTGGCCACAGCAGCAAGATGAGGGTGTGCAACAAAGTGCGTTGGGGTGGCAGGGGTCGGGCGGCTGGTCTGTGGGTGACTGGATAGGTCAGTCCCTGGCCCCAGGGGGCTTTACTTGGCGCCCCCGCCTGAGACACAGTGGTGCACAGTGCCCTCTAGTGGTATTGTGGCTTTTGCTTCCCTGGGAACAGAGCTGCATTCCCAGCACAGCGGTGGCTGGACAGCAGACCCCTGTGGACCCCAGGTCCCGCCTGCACTCCAGTGTAGAACAGAGAGTGGGTTCCCGCCGGTCAGGAGGAGAGCATTTGTGACTTGGTGGTAACTATTTGCTGAGGTGAGGGCAGGGTGCGTGAGAGGGAACAAATGAGGTGTGCAAGCTGGCGGGGGGTGGGGTGGGTGGGATGGGGCGGTCGCTGGGGGTTGGGCTGCCTGCCTGGACCCTGGAATCTGGACTGGGATGGGTACGGGTGGCTGGGGGGACATGGGAGAGGGGATTATGGCTGGCTCTGGACACTTAGTGGTAGCAGGGGGCCTGGACACATCAGAGGCCCTGAATCTCCCCGCGTCCTTAGGGCTGGGCCCACGAGCAATGGGAACACCTGAAACCATGCACGGACTGGCCAGGGTAGGTCCAGTGCTGACTCAGCACCTCCTTTGGGGCTGTCCTGCCATGGCCATGTGCCCCTCACCCACGGCCTAGGTCCTCTGGGCTTCTGCAGTGCCGGGCCTGTGGGATCGTTAGGTGCCCCAGGGAAGCAGAGGGGAGTGCAGAGCCCAGGTGTTCTGAAGGCCCAGAAAGGGGCTGTGCCCGGGTAGGGTGAGGGCAGTGCCAGGGTTGAGTGTGAGCGAGTCCTCCTTTCTTTCCATGGGGATCCAGGCCCTTTCCTGGGGATCAGAGAGTCAGGCAGTAGGGGTCGAGTGGGTTGTGGGGCTGCAGGAGGGTCCTGGTCAATGAGAGACACAAGGTGATATGCAGGAGCCCAGGAACTGGTGGGCTTCCCCATGACAGAGGCAGCCCTATGAGGGCAGAGTAGGAGGCTGTGGGGAGCTCGTCCCCTTCTAGTAGGACAGACTCCCCAGCTCCCTCCCCCAGCCCCCCCACCCCGGCCGCCAAGGACTGGTCCAGGCAATGGAGTAGGGGCTTGTGGGGCAGAGGGAAGGGCGTTGGGCCCAGGGAAGCCCGCATGGGAGCGTCTTGGGGAGCGAGCGTGGGGAAGCCTGGGACATCCAGGGGCTGCGGGCCACCTCATCCGCAGCAGAGACGTTTGTAACAAAGTAGCCTTTATAGGTCCCGAGAGGGCGCTGGTGGCCCGCCCGCTAGGAGCCGCGATGACCCGCGTTCTTGCGCTCCTCGCGCTCCTCCTCTCCCAGCCCCGGGGGGGACTCTCGCGCCGGCTCCCCAGCGCCCGCTCGCGGCCCCTCGGCCGCGGGCTCCCGGCTCTGGGCGCCGTCGGGGCCAGGGCCGGGCGGTCGGGGCCGCCTCTGCGCCGAGGGTGGCCGCCCGTGCGCGCCCCCGGGGCTCCGGGGTAGCGCGGGCCTGCGCGCGCCCGGACCGTCGGCTGCGCTGAGCGGAGGTGGCGCGGAGCAGTCGGCCTCGCACGCAGGCCGGGGCGGCGGCAGCGGCGGGCGGAGGGCGCTGCGGGAGCCCCCAAAGCGCGGCCACAGGTCCGTCTCGCCGTTGTGCAGGAGCACAAAGCGGCGCTGTGACCGCAGAGGCAGCATCTTCTGGTTGCGCAAGCTCTTCTGAAAGGTCTCGATTGCCAGGTCTGGGGAGGCGTGGGAGGGGAGGAATGGGGGCATTGGTTGGGGGGACATGGGAGGGGCAGGGACTCAGCCTCCCCAGCATCATGGTTGCAGGGCTGGGGTGGAGGTTCTGAGGACAGAGGAGGAGGTGAGGGAGTGCTGAGGGGCGGGACTCAGGCGAGGTTGAGGTGTGGCCCGCACCAAGTTAGTGGGGAGGTTGGGCAGGGACACCTTTCTTCTGCCTGAGCAGAGGGTGGGGTTTCCACGTAGGCCCTCTGGATGTTGGAGAACTGAGTTTGTGGGCGTCTGAATTTGGGGAGAGGGTGGGGTGGCACATCCAAGGCTGGGCAAGCAGGGAGGGGCCGGTTTGAGGGTTCTGGGGGCTGCACAAGGGCCTCACCCAGGGTCTCCATGACCACGCCTGGAATCACCTCCTTCAGGACTTCACAGTTGGTGTGCAGGGCAGGGTTGGAGTTCATCTCCAGCAGCCACACCTGGGCCCAACACTGGTTAGCATGGTCCCCACACATCACCTGGCCAACAGGAGGCTGAGGCCCTGGTCTCCATTAAGCCGAGGGATCCTGGGCAGTCCCTTCTTTTCTGTGGCCTCACTCCTCCTATTCGCTCAATGGACTAAAGCTCTGAGGGTCTGGCCTTGGGGGGCGCTGCTCCAGCTGCAGGAGCTTGCCAGGGGGTGGGGGAGTCTGACGGTAGACTCCACCCCATGGGCTTGCCTGAGTGGTCAGGATATGCACACATGGCCCCTGTCTCCTTGCACCTGCCTACCAAACCCCACCTGCCCCAGGAAACCTCAACAGTACCTTGAAGTTCTCATCAATCAAGAAGTCACAGCCAATGAGGTCGAAGTAGCCCAGCTTGCAGTGGAGCTTGGACTTGACAGCCTGGAAGCAGTGGGCCATGATTTGCTGCATCTGCTTCTGTGAGTGGGACAGGGAGGGGGTGACTGCATGTTACCCCCTGATTACACCTCCCAGGCCTGAGCAGCCACAGCCACGCCCCTCACCAGCACTCCCACCTGTGTCCTCACCTGCTCTCTCCTGTTCCCTCACCTGGGCTCCTACCTGTGTCCTCACCTGCATAGCTACACCTGCTCACACTTACACACTGAGTCACAGGCTTACAGCTAGAAACTCATTCACTCTTGTTTTATTCCTTCAGCAAACATGGGGACTTCTCCTTCATGGCAGGTACTGGGGTACAAGAGTGAAGAGAACTTTGAGCATCTCACTCATAGCAGGAGAGATAGAAAACAAATGTGACACGTAAGTCACTGTATATTTTGGGCAGCATACCAGGCAATAAGGGCTGATGAAGGAAATGAAGCAGAGTTAGGGGTTGGAGGGTTCTAGGGTAGTTGTTGCAAAGAGGGGTATGGGGTGTTGGGCCTCATTGGGGAAATAGTGAGCAGACTGAAGACTGAATGGAAGGTCTGTGGGATAGGGCATGGGGAATTTGGGGGAACAGCAACAGCTGTAAGTGCGAGCATGCCCAAGGTGTTGGGGGAATAGAGTAAGGCTGCTGTGGCTGGAGCAAGCTGGAGGGGCAGCAGGAAATGAGTCCAGAGTGGTGCCAGTCATGTCATGGGGGCATGGGAAGCACTTTGCCTTTCATGCTGATATCAGAGCTGTTGGAAGGTGGAGCACAGGAGGGGTATAACTAATTCATGCCTAATAGGGTCGACTGGCTGTATGCTGAGAGAAATGGAGGGGCTACGAGGAAGTTGTTGCAATAATTCAGGTGGCTTGGGCAGGTAGAGGTAGTGGGCTGGATTCTGAATATATTTTGAGATAGAGCTAACCTGATTGGTTTATGAATGGGTTATGAGCTAGGGAAAGAGTTATCTTTAAGTGTTTGGTCTGAGAATCTGGAAGGATGAAGCCCCCATCAACTGAGAAGAGGAGGAGAACCATGGAGTCTGAGATGTTTAAGAGCTTGCAGATAGGGTGTCGATAGACCCTGGGATATAAGGTTCAAGTTCAGGAGCGAGGTCAGGGCCAGATGTTTAATTGTGGAGCCAGGAGACTTTTATTACCAATGGGTGCAGCTAAAGAGCAGAGCCCTGGGCTTCCAGAGAGCAGTAGTTGGGACATGTGGGGCCAGAACAGGGGGCCAAGAGGGAATGGGCAAGGTCCTGGAAGCCATAAGGGAAGGACACCAGGGAATGAACAGTTGGTCCAAACTGGCTGACAGATCAGGGAAAAAGAAGACTGGGAACTGACCCCTGGGTTTGGCAACATGGAGGTCACTGGTGACCTCAACGAGTGTCTCAGTGGCAGAAGAAGCCTCACTGGAGTGGGTTCAAGAGTTCAGCAAAATGGCAGAGAAAGGACACCTGAAAATTAGTCACTCCATAAAAGCTACACACACACACACACACACACACACACACACACACACACACACACAACCTGGCAAAAATAATCAGAATCAACTTTTTCAGAACTCTGGAAACTAACCAAAGGCTTTCAGCAACCTGAGGAGTGCTTATGAAAGAAAAATCTTGAATCTTGGTAAGAAGAGCAAGCTTTGTAGCATTTTAACTTGCCCTAGTTTTATCCCTACCTCCCAGCTCAGGGCTAGGCTTGAAAAAAATCTACATCCTCAGTACTGGAGATAGAATGGACTTAACTTGCAAAGAATTGTAGCTATTTGTTGTGATCTCTCTGCTGGCCCCCCAGAAGATATCACTTGAAAAGAACTAAAGGAAAATATGAGAATGATATCTTACCAAATGGAGAATATCAGTGAGTGAAGAGACAGATATTACAAAAGGAAACCACATAGAAATTCTGGATTTGAAAAGTATAGTAAATAAAAAATAAAATTCACTAGAGGAGCTTAACAGTTGTTTGAAGGTAGGTCAATTAAGATTATCCAGTCTGGGGAACAGAAAAAGGGGAATGAAGAAAAATAAACAAAGCTATAGAGACGTGTGAGACACCATCAAGCACACCAACATAAATAATGGGAGTCCCAGAAGGAGAAGGGTGTAAGAGGCAGGAAGAATAGTTGAAGAAATAATGGTAGAAAGCTTGCCAAATTTGATTTAAAAAAAAAAAAAAGTCTACACACCCAAGAAGATCAGTGAGCTCCAATTAGGAAAAACTGAAAGAGATCCACCATACCATAAGCAAACTTTCAAAACACAAAGAGAGAATGTTGAAATCAAGAGACAAGTGATAAGTCACAAGGGATCCTTGGTAGGATTCACAGCCAACTTCTCATCAGAAACCATGAATTCCAGAAGACAGTGGGATGACATTCAAATGCTGAAAGGAAAAACTGTCAACCAAGAATTCTATATCTGGCAAAACTATTCTTCAGAAATGAAGGAGAAATCAAGACATTCCCAGATTTTAAAAGCCACAGGTTATCACTAATAGAACTGCCCTAGGATCCTTCAGGCTGAAATGAAAGGGCACTAGACAATAAGTTGAATTCATGTGAAGAAATAAAGAGCACTCATATGACTTTTAAATTTAAAAGTCATATAAATGAATTTTTTGGTAATTTCTTTTTGTCTTTTATTTAAAAAACAACTAAATAAAACAAAAATTATAAATCAATATTGATGGACACACAATGTGTAGAGATGTAATTTGTGACAATAACAGCATAAGGGGAGGGAAAGAACTATATAGGAACAAGGGTTTTTGTGTGGTTTTTTTTAATACTTTTGAAACTAACTTGGTATTAATCCAAACTAAATTGTTATAAATTAAGAGGTTAATGGAAATCCTCAGGACAACAGCAAAGAAAATAATTCAAAAACATATAATAAAAGAAATGACACTAGATATGGTACACTAGGAAATATGTATTTAATACAAAAGGGGGGAGTAAGGAAAGAATCGAGAAGCAAAAAAGATACGACATGTAGAAAACAAATGGAAAAACAGAAGAGGTAAGTCCTACCTTCCAGCAATTATATCAAATGTAAATGGATTAAACTTTCCAGTTAAACAACAGAGATTGGCAGATTGCATAAAAAAACAGAACCCTTGGTAACCTATCTATAAAAGATTCACTTTAGATTCAAAGACACAAGTTGAAAGTGAAAGGATGGAAAGAGGTATATCATGCAAACAGTACCAAAAGCGAGCTGGAGTGGCTATACTGGTATAGATTTTAAGACAAAATAAGAAAATAGATTTTAAGACAAAAATTGTTACTAGAGAAAGAAAAGGGCATTGTATAGTAATAGATCCAGAAGATGTAATAATTGTAAACACACGTGCACCTAACAACAGAGCCTCAATATTCATGAAGCAAAAACAGAATTGAAAGGCAAAACAGACAATTCAATAATAATAGTTGGAGACTTCAATATCACACTTTCAGTGTTGGACAGAATATTTAGACCGAAGATCAACAAGGAAAGAGAAGACTCATACAACACTATAAATCAAGTAGATCTAACAGACATCCACAGAGCATCCACAATAGCAGAATATATAGTCCTCTCAGGTGCACGTGGGACACTGTCCAGGATAGACAAAATGTTAGGACATAAAGCAAGTTTCAGTAATTATGAAAGAGTTCAAAACATGCAAAGTATGTTCTCTGACCACAATGGAATGAAATTAAAAATCAACAAGAGAAGGAAAATTGGAAAATTCACAAGTCTTTGGAAATTAAATAGCACACTCTTCAGCAACAAGTGAAATGAAAGTAGAACACACAAAATCTTATGCAACGCAGTAAAATCAGTGCTTAGGGGGAAATTTATGGCTGTAAACGCCTGTAAAAAACAAGAAGAAAGATCTCAAATGGATAACCTAGCCTTTAACCTTAATAAACTAGAAAAAGAAGAGAAAATCCAAAGCAAGCAGAAGGAAGGAAAATAATGGCTATAAATGGAATAGAGAGTAGAAAATCAATAGAGAAAATAAATGAAACCAAAAGCTGGTTCATTGAAAAGATTGACAAAATGGACAAACTCTTAGCTAGATTGACCAAGAAAATGGAGAGAAGACTCAAGAAATCAAGAAAGACCTTACATAGAGAGAAAAAATCATAAAAAGGATTATAATTATTCATAGAACACTATGAACAGTTGTAGTCCAATCAAATTAGATGACTTGAAAGAAATGGACAAACTAACAGCTTGACCCAATAAGAAATAGAAAATCTGAATACCCTATAACAAGTAAAAGTTGAGTTAGTCATAAAAAAAACTTTCCACAAAGAAAAGCCCAGGATCGGGTGGCTTCACTGGTGAATTCTTCCAAACATTTAAAGAATTAACACTGACTCTTCACAAGCTTTCCAAAAATAGAAGAGAAAGAAACACATCCCGAGCATGCAAGAGAGTGCTATAGACCAATACTGCTTATCTGTGCAGACACAAAAATACTCACTGAAGTACTAGCAAACTAACTCCAGCAGCATATTTAAAGGTTAATAAATCACGTCTGAGTGTGACTTATGCCAGAAATGCAGAGCGATTCTATGCATGAAAATCAGTCAAAATAATACAGCACATTCATAGAATGAAGGAAGCAATAACTATCAAAACAGTACACCGGCACACGCATCAGTGGAATATAATTGATAGGAATTCTAGAGAAACCCAGACATATCTGATCAATTGATTGCCAACAGTGTGCCAAGAACAGTCTCTTTGACAAGTGGTGCTGGGAAAGCTGGACATCCACACACAAAAGAATAAAGCTGAACCCCTCCCACCATATACAAAAATTAACTCAAAATGGAGCAATGACCTAGCTGTAAGAGCTAAAGTGATAAAACTTAGAAGAAAACACAGGTACAAATCTCTATGACTTTGGATTTGGCAATGTATTCTTAGATATGAATTAGATGAATTGGATTTCCTCAAAATTGAAAATTTTTGTGCAAGAAAAAGGACATTATCAAAAAGTGAAAGGACAACTCACAGAATGGGGGAAAATATGTGCAAATCACATATTTGATAAGGGTCTAGTATCCAGAATATGTAAAAAGCTCTTAAACAGACCTATAAGCTCTTAAACAGAATATGTAAAAAGCTCTTAAACAGACCTTGTAAATAAGCATGTGAGAAGATACTCAACATTATTCATCATTAGGGAAATGTAAATCAAAACCACAATGAGATACCACTTCACGCCCACTGGGTGACAAAAAAAAAAAAGGAAAGAAAGAAAGAAAAATAACAAGTATTTGTGAGGATATGGAGAAATTGGACCCTTCTACATTGCTGGTGAGAATGTGGAATATTGCAGCCCCTGTGGAAAACAATTCAGCAGTTCCTCAACAAGTTCAACATAAGTTACCACATGACCTCACAATGGCATTCCTAGCTATATACCCAAGAGAACTGAAAATATGTTCATGCAAAAACTTGCATGTGAGTATTCACAGCAGCATTACTCATAACAGACAAAAAGTGGGAATAACCCATGTCCATCAGGTGACAAATGTTTATCCAAAGAAATTGTATATCCCTACAATGAGACATTATTGAATCACAGAAAGGAATGACGTATGGCCACATGCAGGAAAGGCCACATATGGTATGATTCCGTTATTATGAAATGTCCAGAATAGGGCAATCGGTAGGGACAGGAGTGGTCACCAGGAGCTGGGGAGAGGTGATGGGGAGTGACTGATGATGGGTGTGGCTGTTTCTGTTTGAGGAACCAGGTGGTGATCATCGCACAACTTTGTGAATATACTAAAACCCCCTGAACTGTACACTTTAAAATGGTGAACTTCGTATCATATGAATTATCAAGAATGAGGGAGGGAGGGAGGGAGAGAGGGAGGGAGGGAGGGAGGGAGAGAGAGGGAG